GCCTACCCGCAGAATCCTGCCTACCCCCCACGAAATCCTGTGAACCCCCCACAGAATCCTGCCTACCCACAAAACCCAGGCTACCAGCCACAAAATCCCGCCTTCCCAGCACAACATCCTGGCTATCCTGTTCGGAACCCCAGCAACCCACACGACCCGAGCTGGGCTCAGCCGTGGAAGCCAAAGAACCCCAAGCTCAAGACGAAGCACGTGGCAGGAGCGGCTGTGGCGGGGGCTGTGGTGGGGGCAGCGGGCGGCTTCCTCATGGGCCGAGCCCTGTCGAACATGCGCTTTCATTTTAACAACCCAGATGAGGAACGGTGGTGGTACGAACACCGCAACCGCTATTCCGATCGCGTTTACTACCCTCAGTACGCACAGCCCGTGCCAGAGGATACCTTTGTGCAAGACTGCTGGAATGTCACTGTGAGGGAGTTCATTGAGCCCAGCGGGAACCAGATGGCTGACGAGATGGAAAGCCGGGTGGTGAGACGAGTGGTGCGTGAGATGTGCATAGAGCAGTACCGGAGCTTCTCGAGCCGTGCCGGCGGAGGCAGCTTGGGCCCTCATGAGAGCAACCCAGCAGGGCCGAGGCCGATCACACCTGGAATGAGGCAGGTGGCCGGGGAAGGAGTCACGGGCCTGGTCGTGGCGGAAGGTGGTGGTCCCCTCTTGGGCAGCTCCTGGTCTGAGATGCATTTCCTGTTGAATGACAGTGATGAGCAACAGTGGTGGAAGGACAACCAGGACCGTTTCAGCCACCAGTTTTACAAGCCGAACTATAGCCAGCCTCTCTCGAAGGAAGCTTTTGTGGATGACTGTGTGAATGTCACCGTGGAAGAGTACCTGAGACCGAGCGGAAACCAGACTGCAGATGAGATGCAAACCAGGGTCGGGACACGAATAATAGAAAAGATGTGCGTCAGATTGTTCCACAGCGTCTTTAGCCTCACAAAGCAAGGTGGGTTTGCCCAGTCTAATAAGCCAGAGGAACCTACCATGCCAGCCTGGATTGGGATGAAGCACTTGGCAGAACCAGCTATCCCTGGTACCGCAGCCGGAGCCAGATGGGGCTCGTCTCCCAAGAGTGCCGCATCTAAGATGGACCACTCTTTCCATGTGGGCAATGCTCTGCATCTCTCCAGCCCCACGATGCGTTTGCTCCTCACGCTGTTCCTGTGTTTCCTGATACCCTGATGTGGCACTCCTCAGCGTCCCTCCTGCTGTTGATCTGGGAAACGTCCAGAAGGTACGAGGTCATCGTAAAACTACAGATCTGTGGAGAACACATTCTCGCTTCTGCATGTTCCTCTTCGGCGGACTATCTTTAGCAGCTGTTATGTGTGCTAGGTACAAACGAACTCAGGCTTTTGTGCATACTTATTCCTTTATAACTCTCTCTCCAACTACCTGCTGGTTCAAAATAATTTATAAGGAAAGAGGCAACTTTTGTAGTGATTGGAGAAAGCCAACAAGAATGAAAGTCTCTGTATTCATAGCTCATTGTGCCTAATTTAACAGAACATGAGCATGCAACCTAATGGAAACACTGGAAAATATATCCTTTGCCAACCAATTCCCATTGCATGGAGCCTTGGGGAGAACATGATTATTTCAAGGGCATGTTTTATCATGTAGTGTGCCATTTTGCATCACTGAAAAAACTTTCAGTTTTGAGAAAAAGGAAGGATTTCCCAATCTTATCTTGCTTTTGTTACTTCTAGCATTTACCAATATGAGGGGTGGGGAAAGAGGAAGCACTAGTGATGCATCCTTCCTATTGCAGCACCATGTGCAATTTCTGTTCCAGTCTCTGCAGTGAGTTGTACAAAATAAGGGTAGAAGAGATAAGCAAAAAACACGGAAGGAGAAGTGCAGATCTATGCTCATACTACATAATGCGCAAAACCTCCTGGGTGCTCCTTGTTAGATCAAATTCAAGGAGCACCATTTCATTGGCTTGCTGCAACAAGGCAAAAAGTGGCTACTATCTGGGGTAAACACCCTATTTGGGGAGCACCCACCTGACCCTATGCTGCATGCCCACTTTAGTGCCTTCACAAACCAGGCTGCTGAGTGGAGAGATGGGGAACTTTGTGGGCTCCTTATAGGAGGCTCATGGAAATAGGATGCATTAAAGCAGGCCACATCAGAGCTGTACAATCATTACCTGAATGTGCCATGATCCATTTTCTTTGGCCAATCAAAAATAAACTGGCTTCCCGTGACTCATAATTTTTCCCTGAACAGGTTCATGTTTGCCCTTTAAGGCCACACAGCACTTTCCGTCTTGTTGAGTCATAACCTGTTACATTTTGGGAAAACATTGCACGGTGAAAAAGCCCCCTTTAATGAATCTGTGGAGGTTCCTTGCTGTCACACATCCTGGTTGTGGCAGCACTCAATGTGTGAATGAATGAGGCCATCTAAGTTCCTGTGCTGGGCAGGATGTGGGGAGGGGTCTTTTCTGGGCCTCTAGAAAAATGCATTTCCTCTTTTTAAAATTGCCTGGTACATCTGTTTACATTTTCAAAAGAGTTAGAAAACTTAACTTGTTTTCTTTGGAACCAGAAGGGACTCAACCTAAATTATTGTATTTGTCCACTGTGATTTCCATGTCTTCAATCATCTAAAGAGAGGAATGATGGAAAGATGGGAGATTGAGAGGACAAGTAACTGACAAGCGGTACTCATAAGATCTTGGAGTAATCGTGGATAATACATGAGCCAACAATACAATGCAGCCGCCAAAAGGGCATCAACAGAAGTATTACTTCCAAATCACGAGAAGTAGTAGTTCCTCTATACTTCTCACTAGTCAGACCTCCTCTGGAATACTGTGCCTAGTTCTGGGCACCAAGATTTAAGAAGATGCAGGAGAATTAGAAAGGGTCCTGAAGAGGGCAACAAAAATGATCCAGGGTTTGGAAACACTGCCCTGTGATAAGAGACTGAGAGAACTGGGCATGCTCAGCCTTGAGAAGAGAAGACTGAGGGGGGACATGATATCACTCTAGAAGTACCTCAAAGAGGAAGGTCAAGATCTCTTCTTGCTCATGCCAGAGTGTAGGACACAGAATAAACAATTTAACTTGCAACTACCCAGATTTAGGCTGGACATCAGGAAAAGCTTCCTCACTGTCAGAGCAATACGACAGTGGAACCAGCTGCCTAGAGAGGTAGGGGGCTCTCCCACACTAGAGACATTCAAGTAGAAACTGGGCAGCCATTGAATGGGATGGTGTAACTTGGTGTCCTGCAACAGCAGAAGGTTGGACTGGATGGCCTTCATGGCCCCTTCCAACTTTGCTGTTCTATGATTCTATAAAGCATCACCTGGTGAATTCTGACATTCTTCAGCACTTCTTCTCACTTCTTCTTTCTAAACAGGAGGCATGTTTTGCACAAATAAAGATGAAAACTTGATAGCATCTCCTAAGTTTTTTTAAAGTTTAAAACTTACTTTTTACTGGGTGGGTAGATGGTGGGGGTTTTTTTGGAGGGGGGTGGCCTAGAGGAGAGGATTAACCCTTCCTCCCCATCCCATTTCCCCAGTCTGAACTTCCTGCTCCAGATGTTACCTGTTCCTCAAGGGAAGACATACAGCCATCTCTTCCCACCGGCTGCCCTGCGCATTATGCACTGGATGTGCTGTGTTGGTGACAGATGAGATTTAAGTCAGGAAAGTGGCACAGGAGGAAGGGAGTGATGTCCCCATCCCATAATGCCACACTCTTGATTTTCAGGCATTTACAAGGATTAGCTAATCTCGCTCTCAGGGGTAGACACACGAGCCCTTCCTTTAACTTCTGTATATTGAGGATGAGTCCATCCAGGAATGCCCTGTGTCTGGGCAGGCCTTGCCCTGCATTTGGACACCCTTCATATGGGGGGCTCCCCCTCCTTGCATGGTAGAGCACCTGCTTTGCACCAAGAAGGTCGCAGGTCCAGTCGCCAGCGTCTCCCATTAGCCCAGGAGAATTTTGCCTGAAAGGACCCAGCCAATGAACATTGGCTGCATGGAGCAGAAGTATGATTCAATATAAGGCAACTTCTTCTTGAGCTCGTGCTGATCCTGGATCTCTCCTATCCTCTTTGGGCTGGCACAGAGATACTCAGGATGCCATCCTGTACGCATTTACCTGGGAGGAAGGCCCACCGAGCTCATTAGGGGCTACATCTGAACTGACATGCATAAAGTTGAGCTGGCCGAGACCGATGCCTAATTGCTCTGCACTACATTCTGGTATGTCCAATGAAGCTCGCTCTCACATATTATACATATACAATGCACATTTCCATAGGCTGCTTTGTCTCCCCAAAGACAGCAGACACACGTCTGAATAAAGATGCCATGAATTCGGCTGCACAGGAATACATTTTCAGAGATGCAGCAGTGCTCTTGTCCTCCATTTCTCGGGGGTGATGCACACATTTTAATGTTTTTATGCTTTCATGTCTGGCAAAACGCCCACGGCAGTGTTTCTCTCAGCCACATCTCCCCGATGTGTTATCAGGTAGTTTGCCTTTGCCTCTTCACATTTGCCAAATGCCTTTGAAGGTGGTGGTGGTGGTGAAATTCTCGCTTCGGGTGTTCACGTTTCCCCTTTTGCTGCACTCTCTGGTGTTTGTCACATGGGTCTGGATACAGTGCAGGATGGGATGAAAGACCGGGTGGAACACCAGTATCGCAGCACTGGAATTGGCCAAACCAGTCAGCAGCTGTGGGTTCCCCTGAAGCAGAAATGCAGTGGCTCAGTGTATCCATGGAAATGAACGGGGGTACATCTGAGACTGGACCCTGGCTTGCCACTCCCCAGACATACCGGGAACCAGAAACTAACTTCAGACTGTAGTTCAGCAAGGGACAAACAAGGAGACCAGATTGAGATATGATGGACAATGTCTGCTTCCTCGTTAGTTTCTGGTGCATTGGCCTGGTGATTGGGCAGTGGGCCCAAGTGCATTGCTCATGAAAAAAAGCCAGAATTCTGACCTATGATCACACCAGGACACATTCTGCTGGTGAAACACAAGTTGGGAGGGTCAAGATGGAGGCGGTGCTGCCCAGAGAACCAGGACAGATGTTCTTATGTATTTTTATGGCTGTTTGAGACACTTACCCTATTAACTTTCTGCAAAAGCCCACAATAAAGCTATGGTTGTTTAACATCCCAGCAAGGCGTGTCTGTCTTACTTTCTATGCTGTCCTGCGCATTAACCAGATATTGAAACACTGGTCATCTAGCCAGATGTGGTGTGGTAGTTTGAGTGCTGGACAGGGAACCTGCGAGGGTTGGGTTCAAGTTTCCACTCAGCCATGAGGCTCCCTGGGTGACTTTGGGCTAGCCACTCACTCTTGTCTTACCTACCTCACAGGGTTGTTGTTGCGATGATAGACTGGAGTGCAGGAGCCACCTTGGGTTCCTTGCAAGAGGGAAAAGGTGGGATATCAATGCAATGCAATGATAACATAGAGGGACATCACCATCATCTCCCCAGCTCTATGGGACAGAGTGCCGTGGCCATGCATGAATCGCCAAAAAGAGGAAATTCCCACGACGACACCAGCTGAAATAAAGTCTGCCTTTGCTAATGCATATGTATCGATGCAAATGCACACTTAATGTTTATGATTTAATTAGCAACGCAGTACATTTTTACATTAGTGTGGAAGATTGTGACTCGGTGACAGATGTCCTTGTTCAGTCTGTTTTCTTAGTGCAGTTCACAATCAACTTCAAGAACTTCTGTTCTGTTTTATTTATTCAGCTATTTATTTTACTCTTTAAACCAGACTGGATCTAGACAGCCCTTCAAACAGAGGAGCATTATCTACCCAATTGGTCCCAGAGACATGAAGCAATCTAATCAGAAACAGCATTATTTTATTTTATTTTATTTTATTTTATTTTATTTTATTTTATTATGTATTATTTATTTTTGCTTGGACTTTAGCGTGTAGCACATGCTGCTCTCTTTGTAAATTCAAGTCTGCCATTCACAGACAGACACTTCCTAATTTCCTGCTCTTTCATCTTGAGAACATAAGACGAGCCCTGCTGGATCAGACCGAGGGCCCAACTAGTCCAGCATTCACTTCACACAGTGGCCAAACAGAAACCCAAAAGTGGGACATGACAGCAACAGTGTCCTCTTGCCCATGTTCTCCAACAGTTGTGTAAACAGGCACTTGGCCCCCGATACTGGAGGTAGCATGGGGCCATCAGGGCCAGTAGCTGTGGGTCACTTCTGTTCCGTGAATTTATCCAGTCCCCCTTTAAAACCATCCAAACTGGTGGTAACCACAGCATCTCGTGGAAGTGACTTCGACAGTTTAACTATGTGCTGGGTGAAGAAGTCTTTGATCTGTTCTGAATCTCCACCAGTTTCGAGAGATCACCCTTTTTTGGTTCTAGCCCAAAGAGAGAGGTAGGGCGATGTCTCCCTCTCTACTTTTTCCACACTGTTCAGAAGTCTGCATACTTCCCCTTTCTCCTAAGACCTGTGCCGAGTCTGCTCAAAGGACTATTCTAGACCATCATTCTGGTCGGGAGGTGGGCCCACAAAGAGGACTTAGTGCAAGCACATCCTCCTGTCCTGGCATAGACAGACACATAGCCTTGGATCATGGAGGCAACATGTAGCAGAGGAAGGCATCCGTTTTTGGTCCAGGCAGTTGATCTTGGTCTCCTCTAGACCTGAAGCCATCTCCTTTCCTGTTATTTTATTTATTTATTTAGAATGTTTGTATGCTGTCCTATCGCATTATCCATTCCATCTACTTGAAAAAAAAGTCAGTGCAGAAGCTGACTTGTCTGGGGCTTGCAGGAGCTGCCTTCCCATGTCATTTGCACCCTATTCACAGCATCTAAGTGCTAGTTCCTGGAAGCTCCTTGCTTCCCAGGGAAATCTCCAGCTTATCTCTGATCTCTGTTTTAATCTCAGAGCAAGCATTAAGGTTCAGAGAAAGATGCTGCTTACTTCCAATGAGGAAGTTAAAGACCTCCTCTTCTTTGTTACATGTTGAATATGAGCTCTGTGCCATCCATTAAAGGTTTATCATGCTGCTTAATGCACCAAGGGCCAAGATTATGGCCCTTAATTAGAATAGCTCTCCGGAACATAAGTAATGGAAGAAGAGGCATCAATGCTGTTAAAGAAATGCAAGGCAAAGGAAGCTGTGTTGGTTGTAAGAGTGGCCTGAAATCATGGCAGGTTTAAAACCTCAATCAGGCCAACTCCGAAGTTCAGAAAAGTGTGTGTAAGCTTTTGATTTTTCCCAAAGCCAAGAGAAAGCGGGGAGAAGTGACTGAGGGTGAAGTGGTGGAATCTGCTTTTTGTCACAAGATGGAATGTGAGCAGCAATTGCAAATATTCAAGGCCTGGGAACAAGTCTGCATGCACTTTGAGACCAGCTCAGCATCTAAGCCCAGTTCAGGCAACTGAAGCCAGAGGAGAGGGAAGTACGCCAACTATCTCCCAACCTCTCCTAGCACGCTTGAACAACAAGCTTTACTGAATGTCTGGCCTTAGTCTGAAGGTCCAGCAAATGTTGTGTACTGAAATCCTGACTCAATGGTTCCTGCATTAGCCGCCATTTGGTTTCTTCCACTCACCTTGCTTAGTTTCCCATCCAGACTGAGGGAGAGGTTTGGAAACTCAAAGGCTTGCAGATTAGTTTCTTATATCAAGGTCTTCCCTGAGGAGGCATAGCCCAGTGCTCTTTTTAGTCACTGGTTTTCAGGGTAGGGGGCGACTACTTAGAGAGAAAATGTGGTGAGTCATGCTTTGGGTGAGCACAGCGAAGTGGTGTAGTGGATGCTGGACTGGGACTCAAGAGACAGAAACATTGGCATTCTGGTCCTCACTCACCTGGGTGACTCACTTTGGGCTGCTCACTGATCCTTAGCTCTGGTCACTGACCCTATGTCAGAGTTTGAGAAGGTAAACTGGAGAGGAAAGGGGCTCTTTGGGGGAAAAGGCAAGTTTTAAATGTAGAAAGCAAATGAAATGGCCGCATATTGAGTCTGTCTGGGGATTATGCATTGTGTTAACTCTGTTCTGTATGCAATTTACAGATCCTTTCGTACTGTTGTCTGTTCATGGACAGACTTGGATTATTCTATGAGGTGCTGCTACTTCCACCAATTTGTACCAGTAGTGAATGAGGTAATGTGTGCTAACGCCCACTCCTCTCGTGAAAATCTAGTTTGCAAGACCATGGAAGCAACAGGACCCAGAAAAAGCAGATCCAGTGAAAAATCAACCTGCTGATTTTACCTTGAACCCTTAACACCTCACCCCATAAATACACATCTTCATTATGTGTGCATGTGTGTGCAAAATAAATTTACAATATTTCAAGCAGACCCAACACAGACATGTCTATTTGCCATGTTTAATTTTACTTAAAATTTATTTTTTTAAAAACCCAGAAAATAACTATTTAAGCACCTGCCAAATTACAAAAGCGTCCTCAAAGCAGTGCATATGACTTCAAAATTCACCATTTTCCTTTTGTGCTTTGCTTTCTCCTAGTTGCACCAAAGCATTAATTTTTAAAGATGAGTCTGCACAATAATCTGCTAGCAAAGTGTACAGCATATATGTTATATCAAGAAAAATTACCCTTTACATTTCCACTACACTTAAAAAATCTCTACTCTCATACAAACACAGTATCATCAGCAAGTCAACCAATGCATGGAATAGCAAAAAACAAAACCCTAAATCAAAAAACAAGCACAACTTAGAAAAACTACAGGCCATCACTACAGGACAGACAGAATTAGAATTCGTGTACTCTTCAATTGGAATGTCTGTCTTAAGTTAAACATGGCATTGTTCCAAGTAGCTAACTGCTGAAATGCATTAACTCTGGTGTGTTCCTAATACCCCTAATTTGGGATTAGGGTTTCTGTATATGAAGTTTAGAACCCACCACTTTTCTCAGGCTTCTGCTAAAGGATTCTTTGCAGGATTACAACTGGCTCTTCTCTAGGTGAGTTTTTCCTTTGCTGCTTTTCTTTGTGTCCCATTACAGAACCACAAAGTAGAAGTGCAAAATACACAAGTTTCTTATAGAATGATTTCCAGATAATGTCAGGCTTTCCTAGATCTGACAAAAAGCTGCAAAAATAGTTGCTAAATGCAGGAAAGCCCTGGCAGATGATAGTGCAAACCATCTGCAAACTTCCATGGAAAAGGAGCATGACTGAACCAAATGCTTCATGTACAGAAGCCCTTAAAGTAATGTCTATTCATGGGCTTCAAGTTTGCACAGAACACCCCATAGATGCAAACTCTGGAATGGCTGTGGTACCAGCAGTTGACCCTTAAAGTTGGTTTCAAAGTTCAACAGGGTCAGCCCAAAAGTCCTTAGTAACTTTGTAAACTGAAAAATCAGCCTCGTGCTAAGACTTACAGAAGCTCAGTGGCATTGGCTGAACTGATAAAGGTCACATAACGTTTGAGCAGGCAATGAGCTGGAATTCTGCTCTCAAGGAAGCACACACCGGTCCTAATGACGTAATCTGGGGGTGCTGCGTGACTTCTGGAATGAAACACAAAGGTCTTCCCGAAGGAAGGTCTACTTACAGCTATACACCAACCATGCTTGTAAAGAGTAATACTTTTGTAGTCTATGATATTTTACATGCTATTGTGACTTCTAAGAATTCATCTATAGACCCCTCTTTCCTCAATCAGTTTTAGTAGTAATAAAATATTTTTCCGTGAAAAAAGGATATTTTATTCAAGTTTCCTCATCCAAAGACAAGAAGTTCAGAGTGTTATAAGCAGCAAATGAGGAACCAAGATGATTTCCTTCAACAGAAGATCAGCTCCGCCTCAACCAACAGGAAGAGAAGGGCTGTACAACCCAAATGGATTCACTGCGACATGAAATGGTGTTGGCAACTATGGGGTTTTCCACAGATGAACAAGCTAATAATTAAAGACTCAGCAACCTACCAGGAGTTCGGGTTGCAACTGACCAGACAGATGGGCAAGTTCACCTAAGAGTACAGGAAGGTGGTTACATGCTTTTATAAGTACATTTGTATGGATCTCCTGATGGATGTCCTAGCCTGCCTGATTATGATCAGAAGCATGACATATACAACAGCCACAATGGTCTGTATCTCTAAACAGGGCAGCCCCATTTGCTAAAACATTGTTTCAGGAGTGTGAGATACTTCTTTGTGGACAAGCCCTCTGCTTCTTGAAATTCCAATCTTTATAGAATACAGAAGGGAGCTTTCACCTTTCCCTTTCTTTCTTGGTAACTACATTCCCAAGGCAGCTTACAATGTGAAATTCACAATTTCTAGGTAACTACATTCCCAAGGCAGCTTACAATTTGAAATTTACAATTTCTCCACTGTGGATAAGAGGAAGAATGAGCCATGTGTATCCTATTCCCTCACCACCCCACACACACACATTTCGTTATGTAAGAACTGGAAAACCTTTCTCTCAAAGCCACCTTTTGTTTAGGATCAATGGCTTAGTGCATTAAAAACAAAACTTGCTGCTAAGATTTCTCGAAGAGCCAGTCCAATGGGGGTAAACTAGCCAAGGACATATTTTTCCATGCAGTCATTATGTTCATGTTTGTTTAAATTAGCTCGATGATCTATGAAGGATGCTATCTCATCCATGGTGAGGTTTTCCCCCACATCTTTCATAACAAAATAGTCTCTTGTCTGATTTCCCTACTATTTTTGTACCACTAAAAAAATCATACATGACTGCAAAAGATAAGTGTGCTCAGCAGAAGCTAGCATGTTGATTAATATTTAGCTCTTAAAGACACTCCACCAAAGGAGTGCAGAAGCAAGACCGCATGGTCCCCCAGGCCCACTGCTTTGTACAGATCTCACCCCTTCTTAGCCCAGATCCACAAGGTGGATGCTGACAGTGCGCGATCTCAGTGTATCAGGAAAGATGCAACCAGTGCGATGAGCAAAAATATGCAAGGGTTGGCAAGCAGCATCGCGACCCCGGATAACAGCCGGTACTGCTCTGTGCACATTTGGTGCACCACGCGTGTGACGACCTTGGCTTCCATTTCGTCTGCTGTTTTGTTCCCGCTGGGCTCGATGTATTCCGTCACGGTGACGTTGGTGCAATCTCTCACAAAGACATCCCGTGAAACCGACTGGTCGTACTTTGGATAGTAAACCTGGTCAGAATAGCGGTTGCGGTTTTCGTACCACCACCGCTCCTCATCCGGGCTGTGGAAATTAAAGCGCATGTTGGACATGGCGGAGCCGAGGAGGATGCCCCCGACCGCGCCCACTGCGGCTCCTCCAAGAGCAGCTCCTGCCACGTGTTTCAGCTTGGTTTTGGGTGGCTTGGGCTTCCATGGCTTGCTGTCATATGGACTGCCTCCCCCATAGCCTCCCCCATAGCCTCCCCCATAGCCAGGGCGGGGGTAGGCAGGATTGTGCTGTGGGTAGCCAGGCTGCTGAGGGTAGCCCGGGTAGCGCTGTGGGTAGCCAGGTTGCTGAGGGTAGCCAGGATTATGTGGGTAGCCAGGATTTTGTGGAGGGTAGCCTGGGGGTCGTGGGGGGTAGGCAGGGTTGTGAGGGTAGCTAGGAGGACGCTGTCCTGTATTCCCACCGCCGCCACTGGGTTTGGGCTTCTTTTTGGAAAGAGAGACTTCAGTCAGAAGCAGGAGAAAGAGAATCGCTAGCCAGCAGCTCATCAGGTGCTTCCCCATGATGGTTGTCCTGTAAGCAAGAATAAAGAAGGAGCCCAATTATATAAAGGACAGACTGAATGTAAATGTAGCTCCGTGCTGCCTAAATTAAGCACCAGTGACGCTAGGAATGAAGTGGTGCAGCCCCCTAGTAGAATGCCTGGAGTTTTGCTCCTGAGGGTCCATGGCGGAAGGGTAGACTCTGGGGGGGGGGGGGGAGAAGAAAACGAATATATGGGGCAGAGGTTGGGAGGAAAGGTCTTCTGGAAAAGGGAGGCAGAAGCAGAGAAGAGGGGTCATGAGGAAGCTGGGGAAAAACCAGGGAAGAGAGCAACAGCTGCCTGCATCTCCTTCAATGAGCAGGAGTTCCACTACCAGCTGACAGTAACTGATGCCTACAGTTCCCTTTCAGTCCCAAATTGCACAAGCCTTAAGACAGCAACTCACGGAGAAGCTATGAACCCCATTTCTCTCCATGTTACTGTTTAAGGGTAGGCAAGTTATAGTCCTCCAGATGTTCTGCTCTATCACTCCCAACACCCTTCTCCACTGGTCAAGCTGTCTATGGCAGGGGGGAGCTGTAGGCCAACACATCTGGAGAGCCCTAAGTTGCCCACCCTGGTTTAGAATCACCTGTTCATTTGTTTTGTTTCTTCCCCCTCCTCTTTCCCCTTTCTTGTTCAACAAACTCCTTTGAGAATTTTTCGCCCTCACACATCCCACTGATCCACAAATCAATAGGTAGAACTTCCATTGGTTAAATCATGTAATCATTGACACATGACCAAGCCTGAGAAAAACCCTCCTTTTTAGAAATCAGCATGTGTGTGTGCATCCTTGAGATGTAGCGGACACTGACCAGGTGCCAGTCCAGAGAAAGCTAGTTGGCGCTTGACGGATAACCACAGCTCTGACAAAGGGCAACTCACACCAGCCCTTCTCCTCTATGTAATAGCAGCCCATCCTCCCCTTCCTTCAGAACATCTTTGGTTCGCAGGTAGGAAAGATCATGGCATTTCAACTTTTTACTTCTGTAAGCTATTGGAAAATGTTCTGTGTTATGTGTAACCCTCTAATGATCGGTGTATAAAAGGGCCAACTGAAGACTGTTCAGGTGTACCATCTGGAACAATCTGTTGGTAGTCAGTTCAACTGTGGGATCATAAGCCTCTGACAATCACACCCTTTCCAGCTACAACTACCAACCAGCAGCAAACTTCTCAGTAGATTGTGCAGAATGGCATTTCGTGAAATGCAAATCTGTATTTCCATAACTAAAAGAGAGTTCTTCTAGTCAGCATTTTAGAAGGGTAATTTAGCAGTAAGGGCCCAGAGGTGTGGGAAGTATTTACAATGCCAGAAGCAAGATGCCAGGAGAGGGATAGGAATTACCATTTTTTGTGATGGTTAATGTGGAAATCCTCTTCATCCCACAGTTGTAGCTTTCTGGAAGCTCTGTGGCCTCTTTTCTTTTGTTGATTCCTTGTTCAGGCTCAAACTTAATTCAAGGCTAGCAGGAGGAGTAAGAACAAACCAGCCAACCTCTTCTTGTTCTGTCATCTGATTTCCTCTTTCTGCCACTTTGAAGGTCTGGACTGGAAGAACCATCCATGCAAACCAAAGGGCTAAATGCTTCAGAACAGAACACGCCTCCCCTACACAGAGCAGCAGTTGAGTGTTTCAGACCACGCAAGCCAAAGGGCTAAATGCTTCAGAACATAGCATGCCTCCCCAACATACAGAGGCAATTGAGTGGCAGTTGAGTGTCAAACCGGCCCTGTTCCAAAAAGCAGAATTCCTGCAACACAAGCAAGAGTGCTGGTGCTTGCTACTTGTCTCTCCCACGTGAGTCCTCTTGCGGTGGAAGCAGCTCACCAAAACAGGGAGCCTCTGTTCGTGGCTCGCTTACTGCTATGCCCGCGTCAGGGTCAAGAGCACATCTTGGCTTCCCATTCTAACATGTTAGTAGAAGAGCAAGCCAGAAATTCTAGCTCAGATGGCCTGGTAAGCAGACCACAAATGGAAATTCCCTGAGTTTTTTCTCTGTCCCTGCTGGTAGGACAAGCCAGACAGAAGCCGTTGAATGGTGTACACTAGCATGCTTACACAGTCATGGGAAGCCAGAATTCTCAGATGTTCCGGCTTGCTGTAATGTGTAAACATGGTTGATGAAAAGGGTTTGCATTTTTGGCACTGGGATTGCCTCTTGCAAGGACTTCCATGGCAGAAGGGAAGGAGAGGCAAAGAGCTCAAGAGAAGAACCGTCCTGCTGCATTAGAGCGAAGGCACATCTCGTCCAGCAGTCGGCTCCCGCAGTGTCCAGCCAGCTGCCTGTGGGAGGTAGGACATGAGCGCCACAGCATTCCACGGCCCCCGTCCCCCAGCAACTGGAGTACAAAGGCATCCTGCCTCCATTCCTGGGGGTAACGGGCATCCTGTTACTCTACTGCTCAATATGCCATTAAGTGGCATGGGATGTGGCCGCATGTGATCTGCATCAAGAGGAAAACCCCGGCATTCCTCTGCAGATGAGTCAGCAAGTGGAACACCTACCTCACCTGGGCAGAGTATGACATATGCCTTTCGTACTAGATTTTCATTTTTCAGGGGCTGGCTGTGTAGAGTGGAACGAGGCAGCCCAGTTCTTGTAAGGAAATTAGCTCAGCATGCAGACCAACAAGCACACCGTGTGCTTTTGAACATGAAGAAACCCATCCCCGTAGATCAAATTTTAGCATGGTGCAAGTCTTGCTTGCCAAGAAAGACTGCTACGTTTTCCAATATTTGCTTGCCAAGGCTGGGCAGCAATCAGGCAGGGAGGGAGGGAAAGATCAAGCAAAATTCCATGGCATGTAGCAGACCACCAAGGGTGTGCTAATAAACTGGATTATTGTTGTTGTTTTGTTTTCCCTAACAAAGTATTTTCTTTTACAGTAGCTCTGCACAAATATTTAAGATTTAACATTTTCTTCTGGCAAGCCAATGTGTTCTTGCTTTCAGTCACAGAAAAAGAGCATGAGGCCAAAATCAGTGTTGTGTTACTTGTTTTTACATTTCATTAGCTGATTCGGCTGCTGTGGTGAGGGTGAGATCAGGACTGGGAAATGGTGGAGAAAGCTGGATTTTCCTTATCACAGCCCTGCCTGGGGGAGATCCTTCCCCATCTCAAGATGTTCTTTCCATTACTGGCCAGATGTACATTGGTGCCATTTGAAGTGGTACTGCTGGCACTGTGTGTGACTTACTGGGATGGCAGGGGAGGGTTAACTCCCTCACTTCCCACACAGTGTGGTCACCAAACAGATCAGATCTCTTTGAAGAGGAAGCTTTTGTTTACAGCTTGGCCAGACTAAACACAATTGTGCCTTCGATAGATGGTGTGGTTTGCCCCCTTTTATGGAAGATGAAATTCTGAATGTTTCCTGGAGCATGATAGAAATGTATATTTATTTAAAACATTTTAATACAACTTCTCCACTTTTAAGAAATATGGAAGTTGTCGATGACAGGATAAGTCAATTGCAGACAAGAAATTTAGGGTTTCTCACATACAATATAAATGTGGCATGATTTTTTATTATCATTAATAGAGCAATAATGTGCCACAGAGGATGGGTGAGGAGTCCGAGGGTGTGGTCGAAGAACCACTCGTCTGGTGGACCGCTGGCCTCCTGCCACCTCTGATGCTCCTGCCACCCCTGATGCTGGTGGAAACCACCTTGATCTCCCACTGTCAGTAGTGGGGACAAAGCCTCAGATCAGTCATGCTGGTTCAGACCAAGGGTCCAACCTACCCCAGCATTCTAGTAACGCTATGGCCAAGGAGATGCCCATGGGAAGCCACAGGCAGGATGTATGAGCAATGGCCTGCAACTGCCCATGTTCCTCAGCAACTGGGTGGCAACAAGAAGTATATAAAGAGGGCACCTTGACTTTGGATTGAACTCCCCAGAGAGGCTCGCCTGGTGCCCTCTTTATATACTTTTCAAGGCCTTTTTATTTCACCGGTATTTTAACTGCTGATCTGTTTTTAATGGTATTTTTAATAGAATGTAGTACGCCTTTCATGAAATCATCAGTTCTGGTAAGACGAGGTGGGTGAGCTTTTACTGTTTTACTGTGTTATTTGGTTTTTGTGCTTTTATACTGCTTTTATATGATTTTATTGTTGTAACCCACCCGAGGAGTCAGGCGGCTACTAGGGTGGGTTAGAAATGAAATAAACTACATTCACTGCTGTGCTTAGGCATATCGCTTCTGATATTGGAGGCCACATAGATCAGGGCTCATCCTCCCTCCAGGAATATGTTCAATCTCCTCTTAAAGCCATCCATTTTCATCCAGTGCAATGGCCACTGCGTGTTGCCAGTCCCACAACTGTTGTGGGGCAAATGATGGACATTCAAGTGACAAGAGGGGGTAGACCGCCCATTCCAACCTCATCTCCCTGTTTCCCAGCATGCCTCGAACAGCCCCGGAAACATGCTGGTCCTGGGGAAATGGTTTGCCATGGTGGTTAATGGGATGTGGGAACCCAACCCACAAGAGCTGTCTGAAACGCAATTGTTGTCAGCACCTGTTTGAAGCTGATGCATGAGGCAGCCTTCCCCAAGCCGAGCCTCTCCAGGTGGTTGGGACTACAGTTCCCATCACCCTCAGCCAACATGGCAAATGGTTTGGAAATGATGGAAGTTGTCGTCCATCAGGAAAGGGAAGGCTTATGTAAACTCTCAAGAGGATAGATGGGGTTGCCAAACTGGATCAAAACTGCTTTTAGCGGCTGGCATGCTTCAAATACATTAATTCTCGGAGCGCTATTTCCCAGCAGATTACATTTATATACAGCCAGAAATGTGCAAGATGCTGGACAGAATGTACAAGTCAAGCCAAGGATCCCATTTTTATCATTACGTTTTTACCTCACTATTCCCCCCCCCCTTTGTTAGCAATGCAAGGCTGTTTAGGTGCTGCTCCTCCTTTACATTTATTTTCACAAGAACCCTGCAAGCTAGGTCAGGCTGAGAGGCGGTGGCTGGGCCAAAGTCACCCAGTGTCATAGCTGAGTGGGGACTAGAAGCTGGATTTTCTATACCCCTGAGCAAAAGTCCAACTATGATCCCACAGCTGCTCTCTGTGTTGGAGGAATTATATCCAAACTAAACAGAGGCGGTGCCAAGTGGAGTTGGTACCAATGTTTCATCATTTTGAAAATGAGACCTACAGATGTGCCAGCGGAAGCCAGATAATAATCGAGTCAAGCACTTAAATATTTTTCCAGTTTCAATTCAAGCCCAAGCTGTTAGAAGATCAATCTTATATACACTTTTCTCGGGAACTCAGTAGGAGTTACTTCAGTGTGGGCAGACCCACGATTGCGCTATCTGTACCTGCCGATACAGATAAACATGCTTCTTTGGAAAACCTCAAGGGTATCTTTGAAGAGCATAAAAGTAAATTCAAGGTACTAAAAGGAAATGCATTCTTTGACCATGGATCCTTCTGTAGTGAAGCACTCACACAGAAGAGGGAGGTAGCAGCAGCCTTGAATACCCATATTGCAGCAGTACAAAAATAAATTTAGGAAAATAAATGCTTCTTTGTCGAACTGACCCAAAGACAGCCCGGTGAGAACTGAGCATGCCCATGAACTACTGCTGCTGCTGCTGTTGGAAAGAACAGAAAATCAGGCGGGAAGGGGAATGGATTGGAGTATCCTGGAAGAGGGCATGGTTGGCTGGCTAAATGGAAGGTGCATCACATATGGCAGCATTTTGGTGCAGTGCCCCATTTGGTGGGCATTCAGCTGGGCTCACTCTGTAGTACAGGCATGTCCAAAGTCCGGCCCGGGGGCCAATCGTGGCCCATTTTCAAATTTCGAGCGGCCCGCAGCCTCTTCTCCCCTCCGGCTCAGCCTGTCACTCATCCCCGCCGGCCGGCGTTTTTCCCTTCACCGCACAGCGGTTCCAGCAGCTGTCCCCTGCTGCCTCCTGCTCCTTCAAGGCTGGTGGTTATATTTCACCAGAAGATGGCAGTAGACCTGAGTCAGCACCCTCGCCGCGTGACCCTTGTGACACAAGGCTTGTGAGCCCATTTCTAAAATGGCGGCTGTAACTAAAAAAAGGAAAGTTGACAGCGAGGGCTGCTGCTTCCAGGACAAGTGGGAATTGGAGTATTTTTTCACTGAAATATGAAACAACTGTGTCTGCCTAATTTGCCAAGAGACAAATAGAATGGAATTCAATATCAAGAGGCACTATCAGATGAAACATGCTAACTACAACAAGCTAACTGGGAACGAACGCAGCGAAAAATTGAAGGAACTGGAAGCTGCTTTAACGGCACAGCAGCGCTTTTTCACAAGAGCCCGTGAGTCAAATGAAAATGCCACAAAGGCGAGCTACGAGGTGGCAATGCTGATTGCCAAGCACTGCAAACCTTTTACTGAGGGTGAATTTATTAAAGACTGTGTGATGAAAATGGTGGAGAAAATTTGTCCTGAGAAGAAGCAAGAGTTTGCCAATGTTTGCCTGGCTTGTAACACTGTGGTACAGAGAATTGAAGACGTTTCATCTGATATTAAGAGACAGTTAGAAGCAAAAGGAGTGGAGTTTGACTTTTTTTCGTTAGTCTGCGACTTTTTTTCGTTAGTCTGTTAGTCTGCAACGAAAGCACGGATGCATCTGACACCGCTCAGTTATTGATTTTTTTGAGAGGAGTGGACAATGACATGAACGTGAGTGAAGAGCTACTTGACCTCCAGAGCCTTAAGGACCAAACAAGAGGAACAGATTTGTTACTGTTTGTTTCGCCGAAGATGACATGAAACTACCATGGAATAAAGTGACAGGGAGTATTACGGATGGTGCACCTGCCATGGCTGGCAAGCGAAGTGGATTATCAACCCTAGTCTGTAACAAAGTCAGCGAAGGAGGCAAAGCTATAAAACTCCACTGTATTATTCACCAACAAGTTCTCTGTGCCAAACATCTGAAATATGATCATGTTATGAAACCGGTGATGAAGGATATTAATTATATTCGCTCCAAAGCCCTGTGCCACTGCCAGTTTCAACAGTTTCTACTCGACATCCAGGCTGAATACAGAGTTGTTGTGTATCACAACGAGGTACAATGGCTCAGTCGGGGGTCTGCACTGCAGCGCTTCTACTCTCTTAGGGAGGAAATCGGACAATTCTTGGCAAAAAAGGGACAACCGATGCCAGAGCTATCTGATCCTGTTTGGCTGGCTGATTTTGAATTTTTAGTTGACATAACACAACATCTGAACGTGCTGAACACGAGCCTTCAGGGGCAAAATGCAGTGGTAAGCCAACTGTATTCACATATCAAA